CAGTAAATCTCCTAAGGATCAGTACAAGATGATGGTCAGTATCACTCAGGGCTTGTCCTGGATAAAATCTGGTTCTTAACCAAAAAAAAAAAAAAAAAACTCTGTTCTCATAGCTTATCCAATTCAGAAATTTGAACTACATTTGTGATGGAATTGATTTTAAACAATGAAATAAATTTGAATATGTTTACCATGTGGCTAAAATTGCTGTTTGAGTGTCAACCCAGATGTTCATGTCTTCTAGAAAGTTATTTCTATTCAGTCAGAGTCATACAGTGAGAGATTTTGTGTCTTTATATTATTAATTATTATTATATTAAAACATTATTTTCCCCCTCTAGTCCTCCATGAGGGGTACTGGTGTCATCCAGCAGCAGATGCAGCTCCCCCCTCAGCAACCCCCACCCAGGGTGAGTACTCCTTATATGGATGGCACTGAATATATTGTGACTGTCCTAACTTTTAACTCTTTATGAAACAATTTTTCAAGTAACCCTTAGACTTGCCATATATCTGATATTTGTGGAGGAAACTTAAGATATTTCACTAGCTAGAAATCATTATATAATGTGAGTGATTATATACTGAAATATACAAAATTAGGTGTATAGTTATGTTATTGGGATAATATTTACTTTAATCTGTCAAGTATCCATCTGCTTGAACATACACAAAGTTGAGGTGTATCTTTTTTGTTTTCATAGGGGAGTATAATGACTGGCTATCCTGTGAGAACACAGGCCACCACCAGTACTTACCAGCCACCTGCCTCACAACCTGTAAGTGAACAATGGTCTGGATATATAAATAATAATAATAATAATAATAATAATAATAATAATAATAATAATAATAATATGGGATGTGACAACTGTGAATTTTAAAATTGATCATTATGATAATATTGAAATGAATTATGTGACAAATGTGATTTTTTTTTTATTTGCGGTGATGATGATGATATTATTATTATCATTATTATTATCTTAGTTCTGGTCTGTCCTTTCAATTTCATTTAATTAACATGTGCAGTGTTCGTCTTCAGAAGTAATATTGTGATAAGCTAGGGGGCTGTTTAAATATTAGTTTTATAATTTATACAACACTAAAGATTTATTCCTGAAAATAGAATTTTTTTAGTGTGCATTGTATTGTGCAGTGGGTTAAATAACCATTCATCATGTACATGTACCATTTGAACTCTTGCTCTCAATAGTGAATTATATTTGAAATTGCAGTGGGCAAAATATTGAGATGAGTACAGCATCCTTTACACAATAAACCAGTTCATCTTAGGCTCTATTCCCATAGATTTTAGATAGATTTATCCCCACGGGGAGTCTCACTAGATTACTTTCAGATAATCCGACTTAAATGTCCGTCCTGCCTACTACAAGCTGTAAGGGGTAATTAACTTTCGTGTCCGCCCAGCTGACAGCTATTTAGCGTGAACCCCCAGGGAGTTAGGTCAATCTAAAGTAGGTCGATCTAATCTATGGAAATGGGGCGTTAGGGTTCATTCCCAGTAGTCTACAATGAAATTATTGTTGTACATAGATTGATCCAACTCCCCCAGGACTGAGCAGAATGCAATCTGATTGTATTCAGCGAGAGTCCCCATAGAGTTGGATCAGCCCACATAGAACAATATAGCCCTTATATATGTATTTGATGGCTCATAATCATATAAATTGACATTAAATTTTGCTTGTAGACCTTTTTATGAAGTTTTTTATTTCTTTTCAGGCAGGGCAGCCTAGATACAGCTATCCTGGACAGCCACAAAGGTTCTTTGGCTACGAGAAATAAAAATATCAACTTCATAAACTGTTGGTGTGGAACACCCAGTGGCTTTACAGTACAATGTCTATATTAAGGAAAGGTTTTTATGATGATGATGATGATGATGATGATAATCACTTATGTGTCAGAACGAATTTTTTATGAAACCAATGTTTTGCTTGGAACATCTTCGGACTGGATACCTACAGGGTGTCGGTTGAACTGTGGGTGGTTTTCAAAGTTATTCTCATCACCAAAGTCCTGAATTCAACATCTTGTAGAACCATGAACAAGATATTAAAAAAAACTACCCATGTTGTACTCTCTATGGTTGTCACTTGATGGATTCGTTAACTTTGGCTGACCAATTTACAAAAGGCCAATAAGAATTCCCATTTCGTGNTGGTTTTCAAAGTTATTCTCATCACCAAAGTCCTGAATTCAACATCTTGTAGAACCATGAACAAGATATTAAAAAAAACTACCCATGTTGTACTCTCTATGGTTGTCACTTGATGGATTCGTTAACTTTGGCTGACCAATTTACAAAAGGCCAATAAGAATTCCCATTTCGTGTTTGTTTTTTGTTTTTTTGTTTGTTTGTTTTTTCCTTCACTGAAAATTTTGCTTAGTTACAGGCCCAGTTCTGCAAGGTATAGTTTATTTTTTCCTTAATATATAAACTGAGATAGTTGGCTGTACATTTGTCACCTTTACCTGGCTACTTATGTTTTCATTCAGATGTATTAGTATGTAGACGTAATGTAAAACGGGCGCAGGTGCCTAATTCTTGTACTGTATTCAATCCGATTGACTTTTGTCTAAATATACAGAACACATAGACTAGTCTAGATCGTGTTAAAAAATATAAGAAAAAATGTTTGTTCGTTGTTGTTCATTAATGACAGTAGATTGCATGAAAGAATGCTCGAGATATACTGACAAGAAATAGATATTACATTAGCTAGATTTGTATTTAAAGCTAATTTTTCTAAAGTGCAGAGCACTCCAACTTTTAGTGACGTACCATGTAAAAAGAAGTTGATCATTTTAATATGTTATAAATACATTAAGTGAAGCTGTTTATTGTAAACAGTATATGTTGTTGTTGTCTTAAATATTTAGAGATGTATATCGTCAAGTCGCTGTTTCTCTGGGAAGTAAAATTTATTATTCCCATAGGTTTTGCATTATATGTGTTCGTTGGTGTTTATAATTGAGAAATTGGATTGATCCAGAGGACAGTTACATTCGTAATTGTTTTATCTGTTACCAGTTAACAAATAAGATACTCCAGGACCTTTATATCAATATGGCAAAAAGGGATTCACTATTCTGACTCCTTCTCGAAGCACCGAAGCGATGTTTATATTGGTTTAGTAATGGCTGAGTAACAAATGAGTTAATTGTAGGGATATCAGTTGTCACCTTGGATATAGATGTTGGCCTCGAGGAAATGAACAGTTATCGAACAATAAAATTTGTTGTCAAAAGATAAATTATCCGAAATTGTGTCTTCATCTTTGTGAATTACTATCTACAGGTCCCCAGTAATTCGTCCATATACAATATATAATTATATTTATACAACATTTCCCTAAAAATATTTCAATTATCATCCATTTTTGAATAAAATCTTGCTAAATTGCAAAATAAAAATAAAAATAAAAATAATAAACTTTTTTCATTGGGGTTTTTTTTTCTGATTTAAGAAAGTTTATTCAATAATTATTATTTTTATCTGATAAAATTGTCAAATTAGTAGCAACTATCGTCTCAGCAAGACGGACTTTTTTCTTATTGTTTAAGAAACATTGATATGATTTTAACAAACATTTTACTTCAAAATTACATGTGGTATCTGTCTATTGTCATTATGACTTGCTAATTTCTCCCTTTCACAAAATTTCACTAATTGTATATGTATGAAAATTAATATGTTGTACTCGATTGTAAAGCCTTTTCTGTCGATATCCTTTGGTGCATCCATTTTATTTGATTAGGCGGTCGGATATAATGGAGAAAATGTGTCTCTAGAGAAGAAGATACTCGTTGCTGATATTTAACCATTTTTTCACTTGGTGTTGCATGAACTACGATACTGTGCCATGTCGTCCCAAGGAATATCTGCAATTGTCCCATCAGGATTATCAATCACGTAATCTAAGAGATTGAAGAAATCTTCTTTGATCTGGTGAGCCTCTTCCTCGCTGAAGGCGTCTTGGCTTAATTCGAAAACGATGAAACTGTTGTTGGGGTTGCGTTTGTCGTAGTAGAATCGAATTTGCGTCTCGATAATGGTTTCTAGAGTATTCAGAATTAAACCTGAAATTGAGAGGCAATCC